CGGCCTTGGCAATGCACCCACCACCTTCTTCTTGTATACCTGGACGACATCTTGGTCTACAGTCGTACCTTAGAAGACCATCTCAGACACCTCCATGATGTCCTACAACGCTTACGCAAGCATGACTTCTATGCCAAGCTCAGTAAGTGCCGCGCTGCCCAGCGCAAAGTGGACTTTCTAGGACACCATGGGATGTCCTACAGTGCTTATGCAAGCATGGCTTCTATGCCAAGCTCAGTAAGTGCGGCTTTGCCCAGCGCAAAGTGAACTTTCTAGGACACCATGGGATGTCCTACAGCGCTTACGCAAGCATGGCTTCTATGCCAAGCTCAGTACGTCTTTCTAAGACACCATGCGATGACCTAGAGTACTTATGCAAGCATGGCTTTTATGCCAAGCTCAGTAAGTGCCACTTTGCCCTGCGCAAAGTGGACTTTCTAGGACACCATGTGTCTGGCCAGGGTCTCCACATGGACGACGCAAAGATCACTGCTATCGCGGCTAACCCTAAAGCAAAAAGAAAACACAAGTCTCGAAAGCCGCACAATCCCAACAGAGAGAACAACCGCCACAAAACAGCTACGCAAGTCCTAAAAGCCGCACAAACCACAAATACAAAAAAGGGAGCCACCAACCGACTGCCATTAAAAGTACTCACTGGCCTACCGCTACCCCTATCATCAGGGAAGATCTATTCTAAAGATGATCTTACCAAATCTAAGTCAATTCACGTGTGAGGGAAAATTAAACCAGACCAAATTCCACACAACCCAAAAAACTTCTTTTTTCTGTTTTTTTCAGCAATTCTTTGGTAGAGAGTTGTCAACGAATGGTAAAAAAAGTTTAAAAACCAAAAACAAAAAAGAATGAAAATCTATTATAAATGAGTAGGACATATTCATCAGCTGATGAGAGTGGGAACAGTCTGTCATAGCCCTCTTCTCCTTCTCTGCCTACAGTTTGCGGGGCAGTTCTGTTTGACATACATATATGTATGTGTCTGTATATATCTATGTATAATAGTCTGTCACAGCCCCTGGTTTGTTGTCCTATTCTCCCTGTGCCTACAGTTTACCGGGCAGTTCTGTTGTATGTGTGTGTATATATCTATAATATTCTATATATAACAGTTTGTCACAGCCCCTAATTGTTGTCCTCTTCTCCCTCTCTGCCTACAGCTAACCGTGCAGTTCAGTTTGATTATATATATATGATAGTTGTCCTATCTGTCGTGAGGGTCTTACTTAGACATACCTTGCACCCTGACAAAAATGTGCAGGTGCACTGAAAATAGTGTACAAGAATGTGCAAACGTGGGAAATCCTTCACTAAAATTGCAAAACAGTGAAGAATGCAGTAAAATAAGAACATACATTTGTGTCGTTTTACTTTGTTTGTACCCTGCACCCTAACACCCTCAAAGAAAAAGTCTGAAGGGTGAAAATGAGAATAAAAAATGAAGAAGAAGTGCAGGTGCGCTGAAAAATGAACGTGGTAGACTCTTCACCAAAACTGCAAAACTGTGAAAGAAAGAAGAATGCAGTAAAAGAAAGAAGATGTTGTTATTTTTTCTCCCTCTGCCTATCGATTTTCCTTTTCTGTTCCTCTCTCCCTTGTGTTTGACACCTCTTCCTTCACTCTGCCTCTTTCCCATAGCGTGCAAGTGGGCTGTTATGGCATACGGGGATGGGGGCAAGCTCGCGCTCAACTTCATCAACGTGGCGAGCCTTGTACGTTAGAGGCACAGTGGAGGAGGCATTAAGAAGACTGAGAAACTGAATGATTTCAACGTGTCTTTGTTTTTGATTTTTATCCTTCGCTTCAATGTCATTTTTTTTGTAAAACACTGAAAGAAATAATAATACTGTGAAACAAAGAATAAGAGGACACTGTTTTGTGTCATTCTGGTTTGTCTGTCTCTTTGCCTGTCTGTCCTTTCATTTTTCTTTTCTTCACTCATCTTATTTCTTCTTCTACTTCACGTGCTTACACTCTTAGTCAATAGTTTTGTGACAATATACATGGATGTGTCACTTGCTTTGTCTGTTTAATAGGCTTTCTTCGTCTGTGAGGTTTGGTTTCCTCCGCCTTTTCTTTACCTCTTTGCCTTTTGGCTGCGTGCAAGTGGGTCTTTGTGACACACGGGGATGGGGGCAGCCAGCGCTCAACCTGTCATCCACGTGGCTGGCCTTGTACGTAAGAGGTAATGAACAGGTGGGGGTTTCCTTCTTTTCCTTTCCTTCTTTTGCTTTTTTCTGCCTTTGCGCTCCGATTCACAGTGTGACAATATATGTATATATCGTCAAACAGAGCTGCCTATATGGATTGTCATGGGTATAGTTGACGGTTAGTTGCATAGCTTGAAAGAAAGCGCGGGATTGATTGTGGTTGGTGGTTGTTGATGCTTAATCACAACTAACTGGGGTTAAGGTGGATGATCACTTCACATTATAATCGGTTAGGCGCCTCGGAAGTGGTGTGTAGAGAGGGTCCAGCCTTCTGATGAGTCGATGGAAGAACTCCGACGAGACACTCTTTGACCGCCCCTCATTTGTTGGCTGTTCCCGTTTGCCCCCCCCTCTCTGCCTATGGTTCACCGGGGAGTTCTCTGAGAATGATTACATAGATACCCTCTCTGCCCACGGTTTACCGGGCAGTTCTATTTGACGATGTATATACATGTATACCAGGCGTGCAAGGAGCAGTGCGGTAAAGGAACAAAAAATTGACACCAGTCCAGTTGCAGTTTTCCTGCTCTTTTGTGCCCAATGGTAACTAGCCTGTTTAGGAAAGTCGGCATGATGTTTTTTTTTTTTTTTTTTTGAATTGATTTTTATGTCGTTGGTGTTAACTTATCATTATTTTTTAATTTGTCTGAATAAATGGCTTCTTTTTTAAAAACCGTCTTTTTGTTTTTTAATTTGTCTAAATAAATGGCTTCTTTTTTAAAAACCGTCCTCTTGTCTGGAACGAGATAGAGGGCCTCACTCCACTACACAACACTCTACATGCATCTGTACTGTCACTCGACCAGGTGCATTTGGACGAGTCCATCAGCTTGAATGCATCCCCTCCAGAAAGAGTCCAAATGCGTCATGACTCTTGTGTAGCGGAGCGACGCCCAACGAAGAGAAGATTAGCATGGTTAGCATGGCCATACTGTCGTCGTTATTAACATATTATTATTTTTGAATTTGTCTAAATGGCTTCTTTTTTAAGAAATCGTCCTCTTGTCTGTCCTTTGAGGCATCCGTTTGAACTGGAACGATACAGAGGGCCTCACTCCGCTACACAACACTCTACATGCATTTGGACTGTCACTCGACCACCAGGTGCGTTTGGACGAGTCCAATATCTTGAATGCATCCGCTCCAGAAAGAGTCCAAATACATTTAGAGTCTCGTGTAGCGGAGTGACGCCCAGCAAAGAGAAGATTAGCATGATTAGCATGGCCGTGCGTGCGCACCAGGATGACAAGCATAAATCGCGAAAAGGGGGTTGGTCCGCCCTTAAACAAAAAGGGTAGTCCTCTCTCCGTCTCTTTTGGGCCTATTTGACGTCATTAGTTGTTATGGGTTATGGATCCGTACATCTTGGCCCAAACCCTCCCCCGTGCATGCATGGATTTGAACCGGCGACCTCGGCCTCCACAAGTTTTGGTTTAGGAACGCTCATTGCCTACCTGCCTGTTGTGTTTGGTTGTGAAGCAGGGTCAGGCGAAATAGGGTTTCGGTTGTGCATCTGGGAAAAGAGGAGGAGAGGGGGCGCAGGCTGTGATCAGTAGCTGTGAGGTTTTTGGTTTGGCACAGAGGGTAGGTAAGAGGAGGGGCGCTGTCATTTATTAAGGTAGGGTCTGGCGAAGAAGGGGGGGGGCAGTCATGGAGGGATCAGGACCTCCTCACAAGAGGCTCAGGGTGGGGGCTTCTGGCGCTGGGGATCCTACAGATGAATGTCACAAATTCAACACTCCAGAGGGGTGTCCATATGGCGATCGCTGCAGGTTTCGCCACCCGACTGCATCAGGTACGATATCTGCTTTCCCCCCCACCGCCCCCTTCTTCTGGGATCGAGCTCTGCTTTCTTTTCTTTCTCTTTCTCTTTCTTCTTCTTCTTTTTTTTTCCTTGCCGTTATTCTTGCAATCCTCTTGTCTGTTTCCTCTCCTCCTCCCCTGAGTACCTTAGACCACGGGTGCAATATAACTGCGAGAGCCTGGTAATGATGAGAATGACTTGTGGGGATGGGAGTGCGTGGATGGCAAATGTGGGGGAGTTCTTTTTCTTTGTTTTTTTTTTGTTTGTTTGGGAATTTCTTTGCCTGTGTGTTTTGGCTGTGTTCCCGCGACGTCATTGATATATCCTATATGAAGTATGTATGTTTTTTTTTTTTTTCCATCTTTTTTTTTTTTTTTTTTTTTTTTTTTTTTTTTTTT